CCCCAAAACCCCAAAACCCCAAAACCCCAAAACCCCAAAACCCCAAAACCCCAAAACCCCACTAATAATCTTTAATATAGAATCTAGCAAAAATAGACCAAATATGGAGACAAACCAAATTACAGTCATTGTAAAATACCAAGGCTTAGATTATTACGGAAAGCACTCACAAATAGAACTAAACATTGCGTCGGATCTTTCGATTCTTGATCTGAAAAAGAGGATTGCTTTCAAGCTAAAAATCTCTGAAAAGGCTCAAATAATTTCGCTGAAATACATGAATCATATCGTTCCACTAAAGAATGACGAGGCTATACTTAATCAATGAGGAATCAGGAACAGATCTATTATCTATCTCGAACAAACCGATGTCCAGCTCCATGATGATGAAAACTCCTCTGACGATGAAGCTAGCTCTACCTTGATATATTCGAAAGCAGATACTACTGAGGATGTTTCTAAATAAATTTTCAGGATTAAGTAACCCCAGATATTTTCTTAAGCTAGGAATAGAGAAAAAGAAGCTTACATCTGGCATTGAAGAGGAGACAAATGAAATACCAGGAGTTATCAATCAATTAATCGACACTATAAAGCTAGATTGCACTCCAACCATTTTTAAAGATGAATTTGAGCAAGTCAAAAAGCAACTAAGGGACTTAAATATCAGACAGGAGATTACTATAGACTCTAAAAGCCCTACTGGATGGACATGATTGCACGCAGCCTGACAATATCAAAACCTTCCTCTTGTAGAATACTTGGTAACTGAAATGAAATGAGATCCCAATATTTTATCAGACGATGGATGGAGTGCTCTTCATATTGCCTCCCATCTAGGCTTTCATCAGATTGTTGATTTCCTTCTAAAGAATCCGAATGTAGACCATAACTTGGTAGGAAACATTGAGAGAGGAACTGGCCTTCATTGAGCAGTAAATGCTAATCATTTTGCAGTGGTCCAAATCTTCATTATGAATAACGTTGACATAAATGTAAAGAATGCATATGACCAATCTCCAAAGGACATCTGCAAGGATGCTAATATCCTATCTCTTTTCGAAAGAGTCGAGAAATGCCAACAAGAAGGGAAGCATAACTCAGAGCAACTTTATTCACCTAGAGAAGAGATCAAGGAAGACCTTGAGGAGAATGAAGACTCTGTAGAGCTTGATAAAAAGAAAAAGTCAACTGAAGTTACACTTAAATTTGATATGAAGAAGGAAGATGCAACTGAACTTCAAGAGGAAGAAAAAGAAGAAGAAAATGAGCCATTTGAAGATTCCAGGGAATGTCTTATCCTTGAAAGTCAGTACAATAAGGATTCTATATACTCTGAAGAATACTTAGACAGAGTTATCTCTAATCTCGATGAGTTTAAGAACAACAGGAAATTTTGTGGGTATATTACAAGAGTCGGGAAATACTATATGAGCTCAAAGCAAAGATATTTCGAACTAAATCCTATTCATGGTACCTTTATCAAGTATAGAAATGAAGGAGATTATCCTCACAAGCCTAGACAAATCATTAACTTGCTAGACATCACTGAGATATCGTTGATCACCGAAGGATGGTTCATTAAGAAGGATTTCACCTACTTCCAAATTTGTGATATAAAAGGAGAGAAACAGTATTTCTTTTCTAAAAATCAGAAATTGGTAACTTTTTGGCTGCATGAGTTGAAAGCAGCAAAGGCTTTTTATCATTGGCTGAAAAATATTGCTTTTGTAGGATCGCAATGTACTAAGGCATTCTCAAATAAATATGATATTATCAATGATGGTATTGTCAATATCAAGCTTCAAACAAGAGTTCTTGACGAGAATGGAAGTCTAGAAAGTCAATACATTTCAAGTATGGGCTCGACTGAAAACTCTTCTAATAAAGAAAAGATGTCCCCAGTTAGTTCAGGAGCAAGCATAGAAGAAAGCAAAACTCGTCCTCCTCTTCCGAAGAAGACTAGAGAAAGCTCTAGCCCAGATTCAAGGACTCCAGCAAAGAAGTTTGAGACAAGCACCCTTGATGAAGATAGAGATATAGGATACAAATCATTCAAAATACTTGATGTTCTTGGCCAAGGAACTTTTGGAAAGGTATTTAAAGTTGAGAAAATTGACGATGGCAAAATCTACGCAATGAAAGTACTTAAAAAGTCTGTCTTAGCAAGAAATAAGCACCTAAAGTATGCAATAACTGAGTGAAATGTACTGAAAAGGGCTGATCATCCCTATATCATCAAGCTTCATTACTCCTTCCAAACCCCAGATTACCTCTATATGATTTTAGATTATTGCCCAAACGGTGACTTGTCTATTCATTTGAATAACAGACATATCTTTGAAGAGAATGAGGCAAGGTTCTTCATAGCAGAAGTAATCCTAGCTATGGAATACCTTCATAGCATGGATATTTTATATCGAGATCTCAAACCAGAAAATATTCTAGTTTATGACAACGGCCATATAAAAATGGCGGATTTTGGCTTAGCTAAAGAAGGAGTAAATGATAAAAAGAAAGCCAAAAGTTTTTGAGGATCCCCTGCTTACCTTGCACCAGAGATGCTTGGAACTAGAGGAGTTGGAAAAGCAGCTGATATTTATCAGCTGGGAGCTGTCTTGTATGAATTACTCATCGGGCTTCCTCCATATTACACCGAGAATATTAAGAAATTATATGAGAATATTAAAGTGGCAAACCTCCAAATTCCAAACTATATTTCTCCAGAGGCTAAAAGCTTACTGAAGAAGCTTCTACACAAGGACCCAAAGCAGAGGCTTGGTGTAAAGGACAAAGAGGATATTAAAAACCATCACTTCTTCAGGGGTCTAGACTGGGAGAAACTCGAGGAGGGTAAGGTTGAACCTCCACTTACTCTCACACTGGACGACACTGACTCAGATATCGATCCATTCGAGAAAGAATATCTAAACTTTTCACCTGACAAGCAGATCAAGTTCAAGGACCAAGATTATAACGAAAGTAACAAAAATGTGAATAGGCTGAAACAGTTTACCTTCATCAAGAATGAGGATCCTGAGGAATGATAAATATCACTAAGTTTTAGAGTGTGAATTAAGAGTGTCAACTTATTAATTATAAGGTGGGGTTTTGGGGTTTTGGGGTTTTGGGGTTTTGGGG